TGCATTGATGTCAGCAGTTGCCCTGACCCATGTACAGCTTGCACTTGACCTTGTTAAACCTCATGGGATTCCCATGGGCCCCTTTCTCAAGCTTGTCCAGGTCCCTCAGGATGGCATCTCATCCCTCAGGCATGTCAATCACAGCACTCAGCTTGGTGTCATCTGCGAAGTTGCTAAGGGAACACTTGATTCATCTGTGAATCTTATATTTCATCTTCGTCTTCATCTATGTCATGAAGACATTAAACAGTACCAGTCCAGTTACAGACCCTTGAGGGACAGCTCTTGTCACTGATGCCCATATAGATATTGAGCAATTGACCATTGCCCCCTGGATGCAACTGTCAATCAATTCCTTATCCACCAAACAGTCCACCCATCAAATCCATTTATCTCCAGTTTAGAGATAAGGATGTTGTGGGAGGCTATGTTAAAGGCCTTAGAAAAGTCCAGATAGATGACAACCATGGCTCTTCCTGTGTCCACTAATATAGTCACTCCATCATAGAAGGCCCCATGGTTGGTCAGGCAGGATTTGCTCTTGGTGAAGCCAGGTTATGGAGCATTCAGGTTAATTGGATTTGAATATAGTTTCCTTTATTTTAAGTCTGTTGTATTAATATTTAAGAAAATAAGTGTGTACAAAAATTGAAATATGGATAAGCAGAAGATCATTATTTTATTCTTTTACTGTGTCCAGTGTGGTATTTGTTTCCTGCTGCAGGAGACAGAGCTAAAAAAATGTCCAAATAGTTATTTAGACTGCATTTCATGAATATCTACAGCAATTTATGTAATGTTTATTTGATTTCCAGCAGTACATGGTTACAATTTTCAACAAACAGTTTTTGGCCAGTGGATGGTTTGCTGTGGTATTTGCCATGTTCTGTTGCTGAATGGAGCTCTGTTGCTCAGTTAGTGTTTGTTGAGGAATTCAGAGAGGACTTCTAGTTTCTGTTTTGGCTGTCATAACTGGTAGAAGCAGATTTTCACTTCAGTTTATAAGTTTCTAGATAATTTTCCATGCATATTTTGTAGCAATTGAAAGTGATTCTTTTATCAGGCGGTTCTAAAATCTGTGCAGAGAGCAACACAGATTAGGAATAAATACAGCCAAAGTAAATGTAATTATGCCTTCCTGATCAGAAAAATATCTTCAAGATGTTCTTTGAGTCTACCAGACTTGGAAGTCTAGTAGCCACCTGTGCTGGTTTTGACTGGGGTAGAGTTAATTTTCTTCCCAGTGGCTGGTGTGGGGCTGTGTTTTGAATTTGTGCTGAACACAGAGTTGATAATAGAGAAGTGTTTTTGTTATTGCTGAGCTTAATAGAGCTCACACAGCGCCAAGGCCTTCTCTGCTTTTCGTACCGCAATGCTGGTGAAGAGATTTGAGGTGCATGGGAAGCTGAGAGGAGACACAGCCAGGAGAGGTGACCCAAACTGACCAAAGGCATATTCCATACCATACCATATGATATCATGCTGAGAATATAAAGTGGGGGGAAGAAGGAGGAAGTGGAGATGTTTGGAGTTATGGTGTTTGTTTTCCTAAGTAACCATTATGCATGATGGGATCCTGCTTTCCTGGGGATGGCTGAACACCTGGCTGCTCATGGGAAGCAGTGAATGAATTCTTTGGTTTCCTTCTTGCATGTATGCTTTTGCTTTCCCTATTAAACTGTCTTTACCTCAACCCATGAATTTTCTAGCTTTTACTTTTCCAATTCTCACCCCAATCACGCTGGTGGGGGAGTGAGTGAGCGGCTGTGTGGGGCTTGGTGGCTGCATGGGGTTAAACCGTGACACCACCATAGTAGAGGTGGTGAGTAAGCCCAGGAAAAGGGCCAGTTCACTTTCTGACTTTCTAAGAGACGTGTAGCCATTTAAGAACATTAAAGGAAAAAGAAGAACTGAGAAGATTAATGTCTACTGGAGCTGCCTGGAGGAGAAGCGCTACCTGGGTTTTGAAGAACTGGGCAGTAAAGAGGGCAACTGGACATATCTTTGTAGAGGAGAATTAGCTGGAGAGGAACAAGATACAGTGACTCAATTCCAACTGCTCTAAGATGAGGAACCAGCAGCAGGTGGGAGATCCCAGAAGGGGCAGGAGCAGAAGAGAGAGGTTGTAAATCAGTGATTTTTTTAGTGTCATATGTGGACTTGGCACTGTAAGGTTAATAGTTAGACTTGATCTATAAGGTCTTCTCCAACCTATGTGCACAGTGGAGCGAATATGCTTTCTCTGTGTTTTTAAGAACTATTCTGCACTCCTGGAAAATTAGTAGTTTCAGGTAGACTGAACTGTTTGAATATCTCTAGTGTTCTTCTGAAATGACTGAGGAGGTACAGAGGAGAATGTGGCAGCATAGAGGGCAATAAGGAGATGTTTTCTGGATTAGAAATGTAGCTAAATTTATCTGATAATCCCTGATGTTGAAAATTAAACAAATCTTTTGAAGATTCTTTCCTATGTATTTAAAAATTCTTTTGGGTTTCAGTAGGCAGAAAATATTATGAGAAAAAACTCCCCTCTAGCAGAACTGTTGCTTCTGTTAATAACACACTACTGAGAAAGCAGTGCAGAGGCATATAAAGAATTCTTTGTGAGGGAGGATTTGTTAATTTTTAAAAGGAGAGGTGTGGGAGAAACTTGTGTTTGGATTAAAGTAATTCTGAATTTAGGCAATTCAGTGAAGCATACGGAGCTCAGTGATGTAAGGTACTGAACCTCAGGGCTGTGATCCAAAAAAGCATTTAAATACCTGCCTATTGTCACACTGCTGAATAATCTTATAGCAGAAAATGGATTTTTTTTATATTCTTGAAGGTGTGAAGTGCTTTTTTGAAATTGATCCTTAGTTGATCCATTGCAGATTTTAGCCCATGAAAAGCAAGGAATACCAATAAAGAACTAAGTATAATGAGACCAACAAGAAATAACATCTTGATGTATGAAGTTATGGCAAAAAAAAAAAATGGGCAGGAAAGAGAGTTGAAGACTACAGAATATTGCTAACAGAAAACTTTAGTTTCTTAGTCTTGGAGTGGGCTGTTATATTTGAAGAAGCAAACATTGTAAACTGGATTAGGTATTGATGTTAATCATGTTATGGAAAATCAGAGTGACAATACTGAAATCACTGTCTGATTAACTGCTCACTTCTATAATTGCATGCTGCAAAGCCAGAGTAGTTCTGTAATACCAGCTGACTGTCAATTTAGCATATTCATATAATAGTTTGAGGTATGAAATGCAAGATACAACAATAGAAGGAAGTCACGTAAATCTATTTAAGAAGGTGAACATATTTCTGGAAGAGAAGGAGGAGGGAAATCGCTGAAGCCATGTGTTAAATAGTTGGGTTGAATATAATGAAGTAGAAAACTGCTTGTGTTTTTCATTCTGCATAGTGTATACAAGCCCTGATGAATTGTTACCTCTCATTGGCTCTTGGTTATTCATGGGTTTCTCTAGACAGACTACAGAAACATGACATGGCATCCTGGAATGCTGGCTAAAACAAAAGTAAAGCAGGTTGTTCAGTGCTGCTGCTGTTAGATTATTCTTTATTTTCCTTTGTGTTTTGCTTTGTTTTGTTTTCCCCTGTGTCTCATAAAATATTTCAATCTTCTTAGAGTCCTTTGAATCATAGAACTACACTGTCAAAAAGACACTGGAGTGTTGACATTGCTTCTGCATTCTTTATAATTGTAATTGTATTTCTAATTTGTAATTCTGAACAAAATACTAAGTCAGTCAAAAATCTCCTGCCAACTCTGTCCCAGTGACTCAAGGTAGAGCTGTCATACCCTGACTTTTGATCTAGCCAAAGGCAGCTAACTGATGCTGGTAGTGTCTGGGTAAACTGTAAGATATTTAGATACCTAACCTGTTTGGACACTTTTAGGATTTGTAGCAAGCACACAACTGCCATTGAAGCCCCACTGTACATTTTCATTTAGATATTTAAACATCTTTGAAATGTTTCCCTTTGGTCTGATCCAACACCTCTTGAAATCTGTAGATATTTCTGTCCGCTCAAGGTAGTGTCCTAATTAAGATTGTGACGTTTATGAGATGTCAGCATAGCATAATTTCACTTCACATCTGGAGTGTTGAAATAAGGCTTCAAAAATGAAAATGCTTGCACAGATTTAGCGGCTACCACCCAATTTTCACTTTCATTTCGCTTAAGACTTCAAAGCAAAAATTATATATGGAGAGAATAACAGCCTAGATTTGATTTTTAGGCGTGTGAAGTGCTGAGCTGTGCCTGCCAAGAGGCTGGCAGGTCACTCTACCAGCCATGGTAGAGTGCCTCTCTGCCCATAACTTCATAACCTCCTTTTCCCTGCCAGCTTGTGCAGTAAGAGGTGTATGGCTGAATTCTGAGCTTGCACCAAGGCAAGTCTGGGATAACAACTGACAGTAAGAAGTGTGGTGAAATCACTGTAGGATACTAAAAAAAAGCCTACAGACTGTCAACAGTGAGTGATCACTCTTATTCAAGGTTTGATACTCCTTTTTCAGTCCAGGGTTTCTGCAGAGTTGACATCTGCAGAGAGTAGTATCAGTAGACTGTTCAGGAGCTTCCAAAAAAAAAAAATTAATCTAAGCCCTTGCAATATTTTTATTCAAGTGAAGACCATGCAAATTGTACAGTAGTATTTCCCTAATACGCCAAAATCTAATTTATCATAATAAACTTCATGCAGTATAATAGCAAACTAGCTCATTTAAACTTACCAGCAAGGATTTCCACTGCAGCTAATCCGTGAACATTATGCACACTTCATTACCTGGATTCTCAGACAGGCAGTGAAGTTATTCTTTCTGTAAACATTTTTAGGAGTAAGAATTTTGAGGACCAGACCTTCAGCTTGTGTATTAGTTGGGTATAGTTCTTTTACCTACAACGAAATGCTACCAATTTATGCCAGCCAAGACCCTGAATCACATTTTTCTAAATGGTATCTGGTCAGTTTTCTGTGTAAACCAGTGCTTGCTTAATACTTTTTCTCTCCTGCCTTGTATTAGGGCCCCCCCAGCGAACCGTTTCCCCAAAACAAGACCATGAAGAAAGAAAACATGACAAAGTCTTGGACAAGGGCAGTGAAAGTGGGACTTCCTGTAATGAGTTGTCCACCTCAAGCTGTGACAGCCACTCGGAAGCCAGCACCCCTCAAGAAAACGCCACCAGCACTCAACCATCCACAGCCCACCAGCCAAATACTCTGACTTTGGATCGTCCGTCTAAGAAGGCCCCAGTACAGTGGATGCCACCTCCAGACAAACGCAGGAACAGTGAACTCTTTCAAACTCTCATTAGCAAGTCCAGAGAAACAAATCTTTCCAAAAAGAAGGTGTGTGAGAAGCTGAGTGTTGAGGAAGAAATGAGAAAATGTATCCAAGATTTTAAAAAAATCCACATTCCAGATTACTTTCCAGAGCGCAAACGTCCCTGGCAATCTGAACTCTTACAGAAATATGGGTTATAGTGATCAGCTCTTTCATGACGTACCTCTGGGGCATTTGATGTTTATTACATTGCCACTATTACATTGCCACTAACTTACTGATGTCCTCCTTCTGGCCAACTCTGCCACCAGAGCTATTCCTGCTGCTTATTTCTTTCTGTGAACAGTGGATGTTGGATAGTACATGTTTTTCTTTAAAAATATATATAAAAAGATAGAAACTTAAAAAATGCAAGAGGCATCTCATCTAAACCACTTCATAATAGCAAAGAAAAAAGTGCATGGTCAAGAAAGATGGTTTTCTAACTGTAGTCAGTTGGGCTTCATTATTGTTTTGGAACTTACCAAATAAAAGTCTCAATCATCAGTTAACACCTCATTTTATGTCACCAATAAAGATGACTCAGACTTACTAAGGATGAAGAGAAACAGGGTTTAAAATTCAATTGAACATATTTTGGAACTAATTCTCAACATTCTTTCAATGTTAATGCAATAAAGCAAATACCTATTTTGCATGAGCACAATGTTACAAATAAATCACACAAGAACAAGAGGTTGTCTGTTGCTTGGAGAACTATTTGTTTGATACCAAGCCTATAAATGTAAAACGTCTAAGGGATTGAATTTACTTTGTTCTGGACCTGTGATTTTTTTGTGTGTACAGTGTTCTGTATGTAAGGATGGTGTAAATATGCCTTATATTGTTTTATTATTGCACCAATAACGTTCATCTATTAGTGCTTGTCAGGATTATTTCTGTGAAATGCAAATTTACGGCGGATTGTGAAAACTGGTTTGATGGTCTGAAAGTTTTTATGTTAATCGCTAAAAATGGAGAAAAATAAAAGAGACTTTAATGTATTTATTAAAAGAACCATCTGGTAGATTTTTTGGCTATTGTTATCTCTTTTAAAAGTAGAATCAAGCTAATTATTACTTTCTGTTTAATGTTTCATAACTACTCTGTTGAAAAAAAAAAACAAAACAAAAAACATTTCAAATGAGGGAAAAATTTTAGGGTAGTGCCGTTTAATTGGAACCACCATAGAGATTCTCTAAGAGGGAGAGAGTTAAACTAAGAAGCAACAGGGACTGAATTGAAAAACTGAGCGGTTTTACTGACAGAGAGGAAAGCAGTTCCAATTTGACAAGTTCACGAGAAGTCAGCTTAGAAATAGAAGATTTAAAATATCACAGCAGAGTTTGGTACACTGACAAATGAAAAGTTTCTGTGAATAGTCAACTCTGTGACAAACGTGTTATCTCAGCCATGATATAGGAAAATAAATACCTTTCTCATTACAAGAACACCAAGAAGACAACTGTGGTTTGGACAGCCATAGCTGAAATGGGTAAGGACCACTGAAGTTTGCAAGAGAGCTGCTGAGTTCTTACGGACTTGAAATTATTACTGTGAGCACACAGAAGTACATGAACACATTTAGAAGGGTTCATCACCATACATGTTCTGTAGCAGGAACTGCACAGTTGTGTCAGAAGAGGTGTTTTACATGTTATGGTAATTTTAACTAATTTAGCTAAAGTAAAAAGGACATGTATTATAACTTCCAGGGTTATTCCTGATACCTGTATTACTTTTCAGTCCTCTAAGAGGCCACTGTAAGAAAACTTCCAATAGTAACTTAGCAACTTCATTCACTCTTTCTTTTCTTAACCTATCTAGTTCTAATTGTTCTCCTATTCAGTTAGTCAGTTGCCTTCAACATCTTCTGACAACATTTTAATAACCTGAAAGACTGTATCTGGGGTAAGTCTAGTCTGAACTGATGCAGTCCAGTGTGAAATCAGAGCTTCTCAGCTCTGCCCTCATGTTCCTTGCTTGCTTCTCTCTGGTCCAAAAGACCCATTCTTTCTTTTGAAAGTTTATTGCTTCTTAGACAAATTTAGCATTTACTTTCTCTTTTCTAGTATTTGGCTTCCTAATCTTTACCTGATGAAATTTCCAATTTACCTGATTCCAGTTTATCCATGACTTACCTCCAGTGGGTACAATTGTGTTTTTACTTAGTCTAGAGTTAGACTATTACAGAGAGCTTTCTTTCCATCTGGGATTATAACTTTTGGATGCAGATAGCATCTTGAACCTTCCCATTAAACTTTGCTATTGAGTCTGGAGATTTGTCTTGCCTTCCTAGTTATTCTCAGTACTCCAGGTAGTAACAGCCCGATGTATGCTTAGGTGATTGTTTGACCTGTCTGTTGATTTTAACTTGTCAATATATAAATGTTTTTATAAGCATTTTTCTTTTTATCATACTACCTAAAATTTCTCAGAACTTTTTTAATTCATTCTTGAGACGTATTATCTTAATACATATCTTAATATATGGGTACCGTAAGATTTTTCATAACCACTTTCCATATGTTCATGAGGCGCATGAGTGATGTGGCAGATAAATGACATTGCTATTACTTAGCAACCACACCAGCATCTTAAGACAAAGTATTTTGGAATTGGGCAGGTACACTTTCTTTCAGAGTGAAAAATTGGGTTGTGTTGTAGTTGGAGAGAAAAGGGAGAAAACAACAGCTTACGTGAATCCTTCAGTCATATTCTCTAATTCCCATCACACTTTTCATGCAGTTCACCCAGTTACAGCTCCAACTCTATCCATGTAGTTATTAATCTACAGTTTTCAGATAATTAGGGAGAACATAAACTGAGACATTTGGTGGAACAGGGGAGCTTGTGAGCATTTAGGTGGCTATGGTTGGTAGGAAGTTCCCAGGTGTTATAAGCAAATTGTGTACTAGAAGCACATGGGGGGTTGATTGCTTCCCTTTGTCTTACACTCTTCTTATTTTCTCTGATAGCTGCTTTTTGTTTTTTCGTTTCAGTCTTCTTTTTCTCTTCTTTCCAGTTATTCACTTTGTTATGCACAGGTATGATCTACCATGGGAACCTGTGTCTTTTATAGGACTTCAGTGGAGGTGGTCAGTACACTAAAATTCCACTCCATTTGAAGTTTATGATAAAAAAACATAATATTTTTCTTAAAAAATTACCAAAATACTCACATTTGCCAATCTTCAATTAGAATCATAAAATGTTTTGGGTTGGAAGGGACCTTTAAAAGTCATCTCGTCCAATCCTCCTGCAATGATCTCAGACATCTTCAACTGGATCAAGTTGCTTGGAGACCTGTTCCAGTGTCTCACCACCCTCATAATAAAAAATCCCTTCCTCATATGTAGTCTAAATCTACTTTCTTACTTTAAAGCCATTATCCCTTTTCATATCACAACAGGCCCTACTAAAATGTTTGTCTGCATCATTCTATAAAATCGTATAATTTTATATTTTCTTATTTTCAAATCTGTATCTGTCCCATTTAGAGAGAAGGATGTTGTTAGGACTGTGTCAAAGGCCTTACAGAAGTACAGATAGATCTGTAGCTCTTCCCTTTTTCACTGATGTAGTTGGTCCATCATAGGAGGCTACTAGGTTGGTCAGGCAGGACTTGCCCTTGGTGAAGCCATGCTGGCTGTCTCCAATCACCTTCCTGTCCTTGTGTGCCTTAGCATAATTTCTAGGAGGATCTGTTCCATGATATTCTCAAGCACAGAGATGAGGCTGACAGGTCTGTAGTTCCCAGGGTCCTCCTTTTTACCCTTTTTAAAGATAAGTGCAAATTTGATTTTGTGACATTAAAGACCAGGTGGTTTTTAGTCATTATGATTATAATAAGTGCTAATTGCCTTGATAACATTTATTTTAAAATTAAATAAAAAAATCTAAGAAGTAATAAAACATATAAATGAAACCTATTCCTGAAAGAAATTATTATAAAGTAATTCTTATAAAAAATTAAATTCTTTTGCAGAATTTTTTTCTAAATCAATGCAATCCCTTAAATTATGGTCTTATTGAGAGTTTAACATGGAATACATTTCCCTTTTTGTTTTTCATCTGAGTTTAATTCTTAATATATTCAGAAATATAGAATGCTATATTCTAGATTATGTTTAAAGATTTGGGACTGATGAAAATAAAACAAATTTTCCTTCACAAGTAATCTCCCAGTTAAGCTCATATGCACACCAATTTTAATATACTTTTTGTTTTAACTGGACAGATGGGGAATAGAGATACAGTTTTGCCATACAATTATGTTTACACCTTTAAAATGTGAATAAAGATCAGAATCACATGCTGAACTGGTCTATTGATGAAATATTATTTGTGAGCCCTTCTTCCACTAATAAAAATTTGTCTTAGAATAATTGAAATTAGTTCTGAAATTGAATTTTAGAATTTACTTTGATTCCTTTAAATGAATAAAAAGAGCCAAATTGCACAAAAAGCATAATTTTGTGGCCTCCTTTAAAAAAAATGCTTACGCAGAATCATTTGACTTGCTAATGCTGTCTTTGTTCAAGTAATGATATTCAAAATATACTTCCTACTGGAGATGGAAACCCCAGTTTAGTATACTTGGTAACAAGGGGGCAACGTTTGGCTTCATCTGCAGGTGACTTGTGTCCTGAACCAATATCTTCGGAATGCTCAGAAATTATTAAACCTTCAGGTTTTCGCAGGATTGCACCACTGATATGGCTCACCATAAAAACAGCATTCACCCATTACTTCAGCTCGGATATTATAGGCCAGCAAGTAGTTTCTTCTTTTGCAGGATCTGTAATGTAGAAGTGATTTTCAGCCTGCTTCGTATTTTCCACTCTACCTCTCTCTTTGCCATTGTTACCATGGACATACAATCACTTTTGTTTAAGAGCTTATCCATTCCTTGCTTGAAAACACATATTCAAATTCAGAAGAGACTTGACCACACTGGAAAATGATGGGGGAAGCTGGATGCACTGGCAATGTTGATGGTTTGAATAACTTCAGCACTGCTGACAAGAAGATACCATAAAGCACAAGCTGGAAGGCAAAGTCACATTGCATTACAGCTCACACTCTCTGTAGGACTGTCAGGTGTCAGATCTCTCTAGCACTGACCAGTCACCCAGTGAAGCAAGCCACAAAGACATTATTCACTGACTGATGAACCGCTGATGCTGTCAGCATCCAGTTGGCTACCTACACCTGCTGTGTGTTGGTACTGCAGCTAAATCGGGAATCCCAGTTCAAAGATGGTGATGCTGGGATGCATAAGGCTGGTGCAGGTAAGGGCTGTAAGAGCTACTCCTCACACAGTATTCATGGGGATATACTACTTGTTGCATGCTTCTGTAACCGGGTACTTGCCTTCAGAACACTCTGCATTGTTATCTGAACTGGGATTGTTGTTTTATTCTGCTGGGTCATCACCATTTGCACAGAAAACAGCTGTAGAGTGAGACCAAATCCCAACATTCTTATGTGTAGATTCCCAGCAGAAGGTGGCAATCTCTCCTGCTTTACTGTTTCTTCTTTGAAATTGGGCTCGTGGTAGCATGAAATGGGATACTGAGAAAACAGAGTACAAATGGTGCCCAGAAGAGAAACTCAGCACTGACTGTGTTCCCATCTGTTTGGAGCCTGGCACCCTGGCAATCCTCAGCTTCAGACATTAGATTGTGTAAGACACATCTGGGAAAAGCACAAATGGACACAATGCAGTTAGCAATAAATATAAGAGAAAAAGGATTTGAGAATTTTTTCCTACTCAAAGGACTCCTCCTCTTCTTAGTGGGCCATCTCTTTTCCTCAGATAAGGAAAAGGAATTGTGAAAAACAATAGTAGACCAGATGGAGATAGTGGAAATATCCATTTCTCTATGTTACATTGCCTTTTAAAATTTCTCTGTTTCTTCACCAGGTTGCTTTATGTTTCTTTATATACAGGAAGAGGAAATGTAGAAATAGCTTGGTGGGATTAGTTCTGAGGCTCCAGATCCTTCATGTACATATTAGATGAA